ATATGAACCACCAGGGCAGAGCGATGTGCTCATAGTTTATCACCACCAGGGCGAGCTGTTGCGCATCAAATCCTACAGCAGCTGCACGCCCTTGCATTGGACCGATCCTCCCTGTCGTCGTCTGCCCATAGAGAAAGAATACATACTGAGCAAGCCCGAGAAATATGCTCCATGCCGCTTTATAATGACCCGTCGGAGATTCAACTAGCATGTGGTTCACATGCCTTGTGCCGTGAGGATTATGAAGGGATAGTCCATGCGAGTTTTTGGTTCAATATGTACGATGACAGTCAGTACTGTACTCGTGTACGGCATCCCGGCATGTCATGTCCAATTTGTAGATAGGGGCTGGAACGGCAATGCCTCTATAATTGCGGTCGACGTGCCTCTGTGTTCGTAGCATGTACGAGCCACGTAGCCTGTGACATCTGTCTGCGCCGTGCCATTCGATGCAGCAACTGTGACTGCGAAAATTGGATGCGGTGCTTCCATAGCCCACACGCGAACCGGTCCTGTCCGGTCTGTAAGGGTGGCCACTCGCCATTTTGCTAGAGTAGTCTGTTTCAGCGGCGAATATTTAGAAATCTGTGAAGCTCGTCATACACCTCTCCCCTGCTCTTTGCATGTCATACTCTATCCTCCCCTCCACATATTTCTTTCCTTCCCGTTGCCCCTACCTCCCCTGCCCCATACTCCTATAGCACTCCACCTTCTATCCCTTACCCTCCACCCTCCCCTCCACTCCCTTTGTGCTACTAACAAATCATTAAGAGAACAGACGATATGAAGATCAGAAAGGAAATGAACGGAAGTATGAAGATGAAGGACGGACACAAAGACTGTATAAGCTGAAGATCTAAAGTGAAATGAAGATGGTAGGCCCAAGGCAAGTAGCACCTCGTCAAAAGTGACGAGCAGGTTGCAGAATTCATCGAGTTTGTCATGCGTTAAGTTTTGTTGTTTGATGAAACCGAGGTGCAGTAAATTTAGCCCTAGAAGTAGGAGGTTTGGGTACAGCTGTAATGTGGTTAATAATCTGCACATCCGGACCTCAGCGCTCCTCTGTGCAAGCACGGATTCAAACCGGCGACCAAGTATCTTAACCACTACAGCCAAGACATGGTGTTCAAAAGTGAGACCCTACCGGTCTTGATATCCGTCTCACCCCTGCGAGGCTGTAGTCTCCAACTCAACACACCACACACACACAACACCATGCTCAGACACGGCAGTTCTTGCACACTTCGCTCCAATCAGCAGCACGTGACCCACCCCACTGCTTCTTCGCCTGTCCGCCACCCAGGGGGAATGACGTGGTTAATGCGTGCTATTGACAATGTGGTTAAAAATCCGCACATCCGGACCTCAGCCCTAGCCAGTGAGGTCTCGCTATTCACTGAACGGTTTTCTGAGCCGTTTGTTGTGCAGTGCTCAGGGCAGCAGGGCGCTCGGTCCATACAAGTGTCTCTTGGTTTCATAACTTTTTGGTGCAAATGATCGTTTCCAATTTTCTGTGAAGTTCATATAAATTGTCTAACTCTAGATTAAGTGCATCGTTTCAACAAAATAAAAAAAATATATATATAAAAAAAAAAAAAATTGTGAATATGTAATCGTGGTTGAAAGCGAATGTCAAATGATATTGCAGAAATCTCATACAGGAACCCTTTACCCCTGGGCCCTGGCCCCTTTTTCTGTGCAAGCATCTCCTGTTATCCGCCCTTGTCATGTGGACATATCTGTGGGTCTGCTTTGGGAGTCCAGACTCCAAAGAACATTCTGGGAAGACATGCCTGTCAGACACTTCCGCATGCTCAGGGTCTCAGGTGGGAAGACGATAACAGACACGTGGGCATGTGTCCGTCAGACGTATCCACTTGTAGATTTCCGTACATCTGGGGTTGTTTGGCAGACATGTCTGCTCGTAAGTGTGATTAGAAACCGCCAGCCAACTCTCGTGTTTGTCGGAACTTTGTCCCATTAGAAACCGCCAGCCAACTCTCGTGTTCGTCGGAACTTTGTCCCATCCATAAACCTCCACCGTCTTGGGGATTTTTAACTTGAAAGTCAGTCCGTTTCAACACTTTCGCTTAGAGGCATGTTCACACGTTACCATCATGCCTCTCCTTGGCAATTGAATATGTGAGTTATCTTTTTTTGTTGAGAAAGGGGGGTAGCCCCCAAGATTGTACCCAAAACTACCCATCTTTCTTTCTTTTTTTTTTTTCCTTTTTTTTTTAAAGATGCAGTATTAGTACTGTATTACCCATCTGATCCCGTCATGACTGGAAGTCAATTTCAAAACTTCGAGCTCGGATTCTGCTTGCGTCGCCTTATGAACAGTTACACTTGTCAGATTTTGTCTACTGTTCAGCCACATGGGCCACAGGTATAGGAGGGTAAATCGAAGCACCTTTCGGAATAGCTCAACCCCCCGAGTCCAAGCCATTATTCGCTGACTTAGAGAATCTGATTTTCTGGCAATGTATGGACCTCGCTCCACTGCACGACATTTTTGAAAGCTAATTGTCCTGAATCCTGGATAGATTCAAAAGATTGGTCCGAAGGTCTGGTCTACGTGTCAGTCCAGATGCATGCAGAGTGTTGAGGAGTGGAATGAGGTGCTATGATAAAGTTCATCGAACTGACAAGTCAGACAATACTAATCTGACAAGTCAGAGTCTACTTTTTTGACATGCAGACCAATGAATCTGACATGCAGGGTTCATGCCTGAGTGGACAAGGCAGAAGGGCGATGCTGGGGGGATTCATCATTCCAGTTCAGTTTATGGACATTATTTCCTCCTCGAGATTAAAGCCCTGTCTCTTATACACATCTAGATGTGTATAAGAGACAGCCTATAGCACTCCACCTTCTATCCCTTACCCTCCACCCTCCCCTCCACTCCCTTTGTGCTACTAACAAATCATTAAGAGAACAGACGATATGAAG